CTTCTCTACACTCTGAACCGGATGGTTTGAGGCTCCATCTATTAGCATCTTGATGGCTCTCACAAAGAACAATCGCATCGTGAAAAAATTTAATCATATTGTTGATCTTTTCTTCGATGAATTCTTTATCTCTCTCCTTCAAAATCCGTGGGGTTCATTAATTTTAAGTTGGAGAAAAGATTTGTGTTTTATCTCGACATGAACAACATCTTCTTTACATTCTATAAGAGCCAAAGTTGAATTTAATACACTTGGAGTCTCTTTGCCTTTCGGTTTTGCCGGTTGGACAACATCTTTATATATGGTTGGAGGGGCTGGAATTTTGGCGTCTTGGATCTCCTTAATTGCATCACCTGGTTCTATATAAAAGGTTTCATTAGTGTACATATTGATACAAAAAGAAACCTTACCTTGTAGAGTTTGATAGATCACTCCTTTGTCGAGTTTAGAGAGAGAGATTTGGTGATTTGTAGAATCTACAAATTCTCCATCGGTTTCAAGGAATGGTGAACCAAGAGTCAAAGATATTTGAGCCTCATCTTTAACCTCCAAAACGTTGAAGTTTGTTGTAAACTCCTCTCTTTGATCGCACATGTCATCCAATTCAACATCCATGATGCATGTTTCGTCTTCTTGGAGATCTCTTGTAAGCATCTCTCCAAGCTGAACCAAACGCGCCTCGGTGCGTTGAAGTTGAGTAGGAATAGCATCCAATGTTTGTCCAAGAGCTGAACCAAAATCCTCGGTCTTCGTGTCAATCTCATAGACCATGTTTTTGAACTCTTCTATGAGTTGACACTTAAACGCTTCTAGTTTATCGTCTAGGATAGTTGAAAAGGCGTGCTCTTGTAGTCGTTGTGGTGGCTGTAGATACTCGTAGTGATGATGTTGATAGTCATCCTCACGTTCATAATCCTTCCAAGGTTCTTGTTGGTACATATGAGCATTGTACCGAGTATTGTTGAAGTATGGCGGTTGATGATATTCATGAGACATTGGGTTATAATCCCCAATGGTTTCATGGTAGTGNGCACTCGCCATTCTCCTAGGATAGAGGTTGTAGGGTTCCATTGATGACTCCCTGAAACACAC